CTATGCCTGCTGCCTTTTACGTTGGTTGGACTCTTGGGCATATTTCAACTACATTACCAGTAGCAGGCTCTAGCTTTAGAAATCGAGCAGCAGTCGATGCATACTGTGCTCAGTATTTCGGGTAAGTATTTTTCATTAAGATGACGATTTTAACTTGCGTATATTTCTGCTTATACAGTACTGGTTGGCGTGTAGCTACTTTCAATGATGGGAAGTTTATCCGAAACATGAACGAAGCCATATATGCTGGAGAGAGTTGGACGACTAATGCTAGTCGAATGGAAATTGGTGATTGGTCCTACTATACATTTGGGAATGTTCGAAACGATGCATGTTCCTGGGTATACATTACAGGTCAACCAGCAAATTGTTGGAACAATTAATTTATTCACAATTGCTTTATCCTAACAGAACATAGCTAATGACACAATAAATATTTGAGAGAATAATGAATTTCAGGAAAAGAATTTAAATCTAAGTATATTTATTTCGACACTGTATTCCATAGATACTTTGTTGATTTCCAAGATCATAGGATGTATTGGTGATTAACATTTCAGACAAGTCTCTGGTGCATGCTGATGATATGATAATGCTGATGGATTTTGTTGTTTTTCTAGTAGCTTACCCATCATTGTGTATCCTGTCTTTTGGTTTCATTTCAGTAAATTGAAATACTTTAAAACAATTAAAACAAAGTTACAACCGTTGATAATGACCTTAAGCTAGGTAGTAATTTCTAAAGCATGGTATACTTGATAATCATAATATCCTATAGTATTGTGGATATTCAATGAATTTTCTTTCGAAATATTATAGTTGTCGTTTTCCAAATAACAAGAAAATGTGTAAGTAAAAAATTTAAAAAAGAAAAGGACAAAAGTTTTGAAAGTAGAAATTCAATAATTTTTAATCGATTTCTTTCTATAAATGAGAACATGATTATGGAAATTTAAAAAAAAATAGCAAAAAAATGATTGTTTGTTTAGTTTTATAGTAAACTCGAAATTCTGCAAAATAATTCGAAACAGAACATTGAGAAGTCATGTATAATGAAAATCATTATTTTTTCAAATTGAATTTCATTGAATAAAGAATTGTAATAGATTTTTGTCTAACTAATTATTTCCACAAAATGTTAGTTGTTTTGAGCCATGGTTTTGTGCGTTAGTGCAACTATTACCCCCCAACGTTGGTCCTGAAGTAAATGGCCCAGCTGAATTACAATTCGACCCAAGACCGTAACATTCATATGTATCTGCTGTCCAAATGCAACAATTGCCCGATGTCGTAGTTGCATAGGTTTTTCCGGCAAATAGTGTGCTTATACATGTTAAAACAGCATTCGTTGCTAGACTATAACCAGCGGCGCAGGTTCCGGCTGATCCATCTAAATAATAGCAATGCCCATTCCATGATACTTCATAACTCTGACAAGTAGCAACAATTGATGTTGTTGTTGTACAAGCTAAGCAAACAACGACACAATCAAATATTGATATGAGGAAATAATCCGTAGTGTAAACTTACATG